CATTGGTCCTCCAGATGTTTTGGACTGCAGCTCCCAGAATCCCTGACTGTTGTCTAGTTGGCTGCAGCTTCTAGGACCTGAAGGCAAAAAACTTGGGGGACCAAAGTTTGGAAACCAGTATATTAAACTATAGAACCCACCAGGAAATGTTGGGGAATGAGTGCCCATATTCCCTGGTGTCAGGTTGGGGAAGGCTGCCATAAATACTTGAAAGGCTTATTTTATTGGGGGGAAAGCTTTGTACGTACATACAGCTATGACTATCTTCATTAGATCAAGTCCTGTGAGAGACCGAGATCTCTCTCCTCCTTTGAGCCCTTTTGCTGTGTAAGTAAATAGAAGCAAGATATTAGATTCTTGACTTTTCAGGAATTGCTGCAGTTGCATTTTTAAAAAGGTTAGTGCTGTGTACATACTTGTATTATAGCCCTTTACCTTTAAGCTCCTGGTCCAGATCTCTGTAAGTTACATTTTTGTGGGAGAGGTAGCAGATGCATCTAGTGTGCGCACCTATAAATTTGTGCACATGGACACAACATAGCAAAATGCTGGGTTTCCCTTTCACCATTCCACAGCTGCCTGTTAATTCAAGACAGTGAAGAGTCAAGTAGATCAATAGAGAATGAAAAATCCTTAGCAATATGTGCTGTTGATAGAATGGGGCAGGGGTCTTGAAGCACTGATCCTTGGTATAAAAACAGAGATACACAAAAAAGTATGGGGGGTTCAATTTGCAATTTTTGTCTGGAAAACATGGGGGGGGGGTTATGCTGTACGCTCAAGATCAAGTGCCCTCCCTATAAGGGCACAGAGCAAAACCATTGCCTGAACACCATGGTTTGTGCTTTAGTTCTTCATTTCACTACTAAGTCTAAGGATCATCTCAGCCAGATTAAGAGGAAAGAAAGCATTAGTTTGCCAAAATAAAGGCACAGTGGCTTAAATAGTGTCAGAGACCATTTTTCTTCTGCTCTGCACAGGCTGGTACCCAAGTATCCCAGTGGATTTCCATGTTTTTTATTAACAGTGTTATCTAATTGTTTGTAAATCAGGATGTGCCAGAAAATATATATTTGTATTTTAAGCTTTCTCTTTATTTAACTGATGGCAACATTTTGAGGCTGTGAACTGATATGCGCACTGAGCAATCCAATAAGGGAGGTGAATATATTGACAAGGAGGAGGAGGATGTGACAGAAAATTTATGGTATTCTATAAATGGTCAATTCAGGAAGGAAAAAACCCACAACATTAAGAAAATCTCTAAATAGCACAGAAAACAGCAACTATACTCACAGTGTTCATAGTAACATCACCAAAGGGCTACTAAGTGGACTGTGCTGGTGACGCAGCTCATCCCTCTCCCTCTCTCTGGTCCTATTCCCGCAAAACAGTTATATTCCCCTTTAACATCCATGTTAATATCCCGTGGAATCCTGGGATTTGCCATTTAGAGAAGGGTATCTAGAATTCTCTGCTACCCACCCTTATATGTAGAGAAAGGGAGAGTGTATTCCCTCATTCACACCTAAAACATAGAAAAAGGCTTCTGGCACCATGAGGGACAAATTCATTATGTTTTGGGGACAGGGGTGGTGTGTTGTAGGCCTGTGTAATGCCCTTTTCAAGACCAGAACTGATTTCAATTTTGAAAAAAGACCTTCCTGCATAAAAACCATCATTCCCCACCCCTGTGAGATTTCTGTCATGTTCATTCTAAGCCCTGAAGATATATTTTCCATGTGTGTGTTTTTAATAGGAGCTGTGTGTAGTCCCTGGACCTCTTAAAGCAGCCAACCCCTAGATGAGAGAATGTTAAATTCCTTTTATAGCATGTACTGTTCACAATCACCTCTTGCGATCATAGTTAAGGAATAAGGGATCCTACAACACAGTGTTCATCTTTGATCCCTTGGCTGGAAGCCTGCAGAGAGAACCCACAGCCCTCCCTGTGTGAAGGGTGCAAGACTCTTTGCCATTCAAGAAAAATGGCCAACTAAAAGGCAGCTAAAGCCACACGTAGACAGTGGCTTCCCAAACAGGGTAGAGGGCTGGGAAATGAGGGATGGGAGTCCAGGCTCTGTAATAGGAGACTTGGAAAATCTAATCCTGGCACAAATGCGATATAGTAGAAAATCCAAGTCAAACATACCCAGCAGCAGCTCACCTCATACAATGTGCTGGATCACTGCATATGCTGTACTGATGTGTGTTGATTGTGTTGTAAGTGACATCCCCTGCCCTTGTGGCATGTGACATGTCACAAGGGGCTGAAAGACCAAGGGAATATGTGGCAATTGAGTTGTAAACATGTGTAACAGTAAGACCTGTTAACTGATTCCATAGTACCTTAATGTACTTCCAAATTTTCTGTTACAAGAGTGAATTTGTTATCACCTCAGCTCTCAAGTTTTTTTTTTTAATCTTGTAATTTCACTTCTTTTGAGATATTTGCATTGATTCTCCTTCCCCTTTACACCCACTTGAAGATGTTATGGTTTTGCCTACAAAATAAATCAGGACAGTTCTTGAACCTACTGTATTAAAAACAAACATGGTAGGCAAACGTGTTTCTCTTTCTGTCTCCGAATGATGTTGAAGCACTTTCACTCTCTTCTGGCTGTAAAAGCGTGGAAGAGAATTATAAAAAGGTCCCTTTTGCCAAACAGATTTTTTCCAGCTTGGCAAAAAAAAATACTTCTATGACCTTCTTCCATGCTTTTATGTCAAGAAGAGAACAAAAGTGCTTCAATGTCATGTAGAGATGGAAAGAGAAACATGCTTCCCTCCACTTGCCTGCCTGGTTTGTTTGTAATGTGATTAGGCTCATGGTCTTGATGAAAAGCTTTGACAGCTCCCAATGCTTATAGGATATTTTGTTTCTGCTAATTCCATCTTTCCTTAAATGTACACAGGTTATTCTAGTTACTTTTCAGTAGATAAATGCTGGATCAGTTCAAAGGCACATTGAGGTTTACTTACAAATCAATGTGAAATCCACTTATAAAATGTGTTACTAAAATTCCGTGCTACTTCTCAGCAAGTCTTTACAATTAAATGTACATAAAGGGACATAAGACCCAAAGTGCATTGTTGAGACCAAATGAACATGATGCCAGACAGCAACCACATTGTATTAATTCACAGAAGTTCAGACAATGTGGCTTTTTGGTTACATAATTATAACTCCAAATCCTTATTTTTCTGATGTTCTACTACTTACAGTGAACTCTGATTGTCTCCCCCTTTATCTGGTTAAACTTGCATAGGATAAGAAATTTTGAAACTTCACCAGACATCCTTAAGACTATAGCTACAGAAGGTAAGATTTCAACATCTTTGAAGCATATCCCAGTTATCCTAAATGCTCAGCTCTAACAACAGACATCTATTATCAGCTGATGTGCAAGACAAATTTGTGCACTTGATATAGATCATGCACCTTATAGAGCTCATCTAACCCACCAATGAATTGGATGGGTGATTACAAGCCAGATGCGGATCTAAGGTCCCAGATGAATCAGGATTGTCATGAATAATTTTACTTAAGCATTCTCCAAAGACCTTCGTATGATTATGAGCAAAAAGATATCCACTTGATAAAATGTAAAGTTTTGTCATCCCAAGATGAAAACCTATCTTGTCTGTATTTCCAGAATCATAAATTCACAAAAACAAAAGGGTATCCTCTAAGCCTGATGCTGTGGTGTGGTATGCAGGAAAGTCAGAGAAAGGGCTAAGATGGTATCAAGATGGAGCCATGCAATCAGTGGCAAGGATCAGAATCTTCTAAGTATGGCTTTGAGGCTTTGTTTTCATCTCTGAGTTAAGACACTTTTTGGCTTCATGTTTTCTTGCTATTTGCTTTCTGTTTGCGTCGATGAGCCTCAATCTCCCGTCTGAAGATCAGCATCCCTAGCTGGCCATGTGAAGCTTCGTTCATGGCTTTGGACTGAATGCACATCTTGTACTGTTCAGGGGTCAGCTCATCTAAGCAGTGCTTTTCATGCCAGAGATGGAAAAGGCCACGGACCGGTGTCCTGATCACAATGAGGTTGCTGTGAAGGTATTTACGATACAGATGTACATCCTCTCCTCCCCACCCCTTTATGTCAAGATCAAATCCTCCTAAAAAGAAAAGAGAAAATACAGATGTCATTAGTGGAAAGCTGGCTAATTTCCCTTTACTGCCTGCTCAAATAATATACTAATGACTGCAGTAGTTTATAACAAAGAGATACAGGACAGATCATTTATAATACACAGATATGGGCGGATGTAGACACCAGCAAAATTGAGAGTAGCATAGAAATTGCAACATAGGAAGTTCCCTTAAACTAAGTAATTGGTTCATCTACCTAGTATCATTAACACTGACAGACAGTAACTCTCTGAGAGGATTCTTTGCTAAGTCTGCCTGGAGATGCCTGATATGGAACCAGGTACTTTCTGAATGCTAATAGCTAATTCATTATTATGGTCCTGTAGGATATTATTCACAAATTGGTACATTAGTATCAGTAAGCAAATAAAGGGTGTACTAGGGGGGAAATTATATATTATTAATAGAATAACGCTAATAATGTAAATTATATCAACAACAAAACTAACAAAGTTTAGTTCAGGAGAATATGAGTCTTGGAAATGAAGAATGCACCTTGCAAAACCTGAGTGTATAACTTAAGATTTTAAAAATAAATTTATGTTTACATGGTGAACCTAGCATCTAAAAGATGAAGGGGCAAAGCAGATGGAGCAAAAGGACCCCAATTGCTCAAAGACTGTGGCATTGAATGCTGCAGTCCCAAACAGGCTGCTGGCAGGGACAGCTTTTGCCACTCATTTTTCTGGTGGCTTAAGGCTACATTAGCTGGCCTCAGAGCAGCTTCTGTCTGTTCCAGGGCTATGCATCATATAAATGCCATGCCCCAAGTGGCTGCAAGCTACTTTATTTGTCCTGTCTCCTTCAGTCCTAAGTCATATATATCCAGGTAAAATGATACAGCATGGTATAGTGGTTTGAATATTGGACTGTGACTCTGGAGACTAGGGTTCGATTCCCCACTCAGTCATGAAACCCACTGGATGACTTTGGGCAAGTTATGTGATCTCAGCCTCAGGGAAAGCCAATGGCAAACCTCCTCTGAACAAATCTTGCCAAGAACATCCCATGACAGGTCACTATACGTTGGAAATTACTTGAAGGCACCTTCAGTGGCTTCGCAAACAGGGTAGAGGGCTGGGAAATGAGGGATGGGAGTCCAGGCTCTGTAATAGGAGACTTGGAAAATCTAATTCTGGCACAAATGCTATATAGTAGAACATCCAAGTCAAACATACACAGCAGCAGCTCACCTCATACAATGTGGTGGACCACTGTATATGATGTACTGATGTGTGCTGACTGTATTGTAAGTGACATCCCCTGCCCTTGTGGATGATATATACTGGAAATGTTAGTACAGACATATCATACCTTTGAATATAATTCCACAACTAAATTGGGTTTTGGAGGGAAGCAGTTTAGTAGTAGTTCAAAAAGTAGTAGCAGTTTAGTAGTAGTTCAAAAGGGAGAAGCCTCAAGTATGCCAAAAAGACAAGAGGGATCTGGCACAATGGGACCAACCTTTGGAAAATTTAATACAAGGAGAATTTCTTACCAATATTGATATAATCAGAGCGGTATTGGCATGTCATTCCAAAACCAAAATCTCTCCAAAATCCTGTCTCCTTTCTTATAATCTAGAAGAAACAAAGGTATCTTTATCTGTGACTATAAAGAGAGTTTGCTCAGGTAAAGTATAAAGTGCTTACTTTTTTTCATAGCTCATAAATAAACAATGGGGCCGGGTATGTGCAGTTGCCACAGCCCTGGTGCGAATGACACCAGTGCAATCCCTTTGGCCCATCTATTTCAGACCCAAGTCACTTTTTATGAATAGTAGCCCACTTTTAATACTTTGTAATAGTACTTTGTTGTACTTTGGTCACATCACAACTCATGGGGGGGAATAATGCTAGGAAAGGTAGAGGGAAACAAGAGAGGAAGCCCACATGCTACATGGATGGACTCTATAAAAGAGTCATGGGAATTAATTTGCAGATACTGATCAGAGCAGTGGAGGACAGGGAATCTTGGAGATGTCTCATCTACAGGGTCTCCATGGGTCAAGATCAACTCGAGGGTGGATAACAACAACAACAACAACAACAACAACAACAACAACAACAACCCACTATTAATATTGCAAATTAGAGGTAGGTTTGAGGCTTAGGGTTTGTCTCACAAGAGTCACATCTAGTTCTCTACCTATTCCCAAATGAAATTTCCTGAGATCCTTTGCACCCTAAATTAGTGCATTATGGGCCTCTTTAAAACTGGAGATGGAATGACCAACACAAACTTTGCATTAAGGATGTTAAGAATACTTGCAAATTTTCCTCCCTATGATAAGCAGAGGTATCTCAACACATTGGACACTTCAATGAAATAATGGCTAGCTGGTGCAAGATTGTTCATGTTTCAGAACATCATTGAAAAAAGAGCCATTTGCACAAAATTTATTATTTTCTGAGCAAAATATTTGTCTTAAAATCATTTGGGGGAAAAACATAATTAAATATAAAAAATCACTGAAAAGTTTGAAAAACCCCTGTAATCTATTCTAGCCAGGACAAAACATTTGTTAATCTTCATTACTCTGCGCATTTCTGCTTTGGATAGGATAATGCACCCACTCACACCGGTATACACCCACTCACACCCACAGCCATATGTGTTCACAACCCTTCAGGAACAAACAATCCAAGGTGGCAAACATACAGGTATGAAAACTAAAGATACAAGGCAGAATCCTGCTCATGACATGCATATGCTTTAGATGTTACTGTTTTCAATGCAGTGCAAGGAGCTATTATCCAGCCAATGTCCAAATACTCCAGCCATCATATGCTGCTACTGTGCAGAGGAAAGAAGGAAGGGGGAAGGCATGTGAGCAGTGGGGACCGCCTATGGTTCTCACTGCAATTCACAAGAGAAAAAAATAAAGGAAGGAGGTCACAGCAATGTCTGATGGACCCCTGCTGATGGCAAATAAAACACATGAATTAAACCTATTTGCAACAGACTGTTTATATATATATATGTGTGTGTGTGTAGTAGTAGTAGTAGTAGTAGTAGTAGTTGGGGGTACCAAGTGAACACTCCTTGAAAGATATTGGAAATGCAACAATCCTCATCAGTTAGTAAATTAAATATGTGTTTTTCAAGAGTGCATCAATGATAGGCTTATGTAGTTTTCAGTAACCCAGATAAAGTAACCCAAAATAAAGCCATGTACTTACCAGTTGCTGCGCTAAGGGTGGGATGGAATCATGATGTCCATAAATTAGACCTGGGTTATACTGACTGAAAAGAACTGGATAGAATACTTTCTTTCCTATGGAGAGGAGGGAAGAGAATTGAACATACTTGGTTGTTTGGTTTACAGACATGTGTTCTGCTCTTGAATGTTTTGAACTTAGCTTTCAGCACAGTGAACTTTTAGCAGGTCAAAACTGAAATCAGAGAGAGGATATGAAATAGACTAATTGTTGCTACCACCCTTGCTTTTAATTAATGTCATAATAAGGAGTGAGTTCTGAGTTCTACCTTGATCCGTAAGGAGCTTGATCTGCACTTTAAGATCCCTGATAACCAGGGCTTTTTAGCAGGCCTAGTCTTAGTAACTAGTATCCTATGGCAGCTGTCCTAACAAGACATCTACCTACCTAGGCCCTCCACATCAGACAGATGGATCTATGAACCTCCACGCGAATCATTTTTTAAGTATTGTTTTAAAATAATGTTATAGCCACCACATCATCAAACGCAATATTCAAAGGCAATAATGTTTAGTGCTACTAAATCACTAAGCCGCTTCAAAGATGAAGTCAGAGGAGTGTTTATTATCACAGGGAAAAACAGAAAAGGATAGCACCACATACAAACTATAGAAACAAGGAGGCAAACTGTCAAAGATGTTGAAGGGAATGGTAAGTTGTGTAGTCCATTTGAAGCTATTGTGCCAGGTGCACTTTTCATAAGAAAAGCCCCTTCTTTCTCTCTTGAAGAAAGAATCCCTTTTGAAGTTTGCCTCCACTTATTATGGGGGTTCCTTGTGCAAACCATTTGGTCCTAGTTTATATAAGTGAGACTGTGTTATCCTGACTGAAGGTGGTTGAACTGTGAGTGATCTTTCATTCTCTTGTCTGGTGATATGGCTCAGTGATCAGAAAACTACTCTGTTGACTAGATTCTAAGTCCTATTTTTGCCTGCTTTCCATCCTTTGCATTTGACATGGATGCTGCTCACCAGGCATACAAAGGGTGAGATTGGCCCTAACTCTCCTATATCCTTTTTCAGGACTGAAATTGGAAACAGTACTATCTCATTCTCATACAACATCTCAGTGTTCTATAATGCTCCTCTAAAAGTGTGATTGTGGCTTCCCTTATTGTTAATTCAAGTTCTCCCTTGGGAAATTTTCTTCTTTTGTGGTCTTAGACTTCCAGGGAGCTTTGAACTCTGGTGCTGGAGAAACCTGTGTGATTATGATCCATGCCAGTTCTCAAATAAACTGTCTTAGGGGGGTTGCAGACTGCCAGAAATAGTGCAAATTGAGTCCACTTTTAGGGTTAGGATCAGGGAATCATGGGAACTGTATTTTATTGTGGCACCAGAGCTCTCTGACAGAGAAGACTCAATGTCTCAGAAAGAAAACAATTCCCATGATTCCCTAACACTAACACTAACCCTAAAAGTGGACTCAATTTGCACTATTTCTGGCAGTCTGCAACCCCCCTTAGGCTGCATCTGGACTGAAGAATTGATGCAGTTTGATATCACTTCAACTGCCATGGCTCAATGCTGTGGAATTCTGTGTAGTTTTGTGATATACTTAGCCTTCTGTGTCAGCTGTGTCACAACAAATCACAACTTTCAGGATTCCATGACAGTTAAAGTGGTGTCAAACTGCATTAATTCTGCAGTATGGCAGCAACCTTGGTGTTCTTTGTTGCTTTTTGATCCAGAGTACTTAAGTCATTCAAAAGGACAGTTATTTTCAGGCAGTAGTTTAAAAGTAGTAGCAGTTTAGTAGTACGGTAATTCAAAAGATGTGTTCCATACCCTCATCTACAGAAGTCCCTAGTGCACCTCAGATACTTGGCTCCTGCTACTTACCCCACAGTATTTGACTTTATAGAAAGATCTGTTGTGTATTTGCATCTAGTGGTGCCTTTATATTTAGTACCTTATTTTCCTGCGTATAAGACTACTTTTTAACCTGCAAAATCTGTGGTTAAAGTGGGGGGGGGTCATCTTATACGCCGGGTATAAGGATAAGGAGGATGGAGGTGCTAAAACTCTATATTTTGACTGGAAAAATGGGGGGTTGTCTTATATGCGGGTCGTCTTATACGCCGGAAAATATGGTAGGTTGTGTCCTGTGCACATTTGGCATGCTACTGTATTATTACTGTATGACAGTAGTGTTTCCATAGACACTGGGATGAGTTCAAGTTATTGTTCTGTTTAAATAATACAATTTTGTACTCAATTTTACTGTTGAGTGTACATACAAGCCCAACTATAGTAGACTGACATTCCTCAGACATTAGTGGTCACTTGTGCAGCTGGAAAGATGCAAATTGTTCTTCCCATTGCAAAGGTCGAGCTCTAAATCTAAGGACAACTATACCTGGTTGTGTGTTTAGCCTGCATGTGTTGAGGAATTCTGCTGTGAAGTATATATCCACATCACAGAAAAAGAGAACAACATTGCTTCCTTTCCAAAATCGTGCCCCCACATCCAGGCCTTTGCCTCTTGAGAATTCTTCATCTAGCTGGATAAAAGTGTAATTCCTGAAGTTGGCTGATCTGCAAGGAGGAATAACACTTCAGTTTTATTCAGCTCCTTTGTCGAAGAAGAAGAAGAAGAAGAGTAATCATATACGTACCCTTTACCCTTATCAATCAATATAATTCATTATAATTAAATGAAGGTCTTTGGGCACCATAAAGACTTAAAG